CCGGTACGGTGTTATACGACGGCAATGATAAATAAAGAATGGGATGTAGTATAAAATAGTGTATCCATTATATATGTATATACATACATACCAAACGACTGTGCATAAAAGGAGAGGGAGGCGCCACTAACGGACCGTATATTATGAAGGGGGGCTGCTTTTGCTTACAGTATCTTTTCCCGACGGCGGCAAAATACGATTCTTTTTACTCGATAGGCACTTATTTATGTATATATATATATACCAACCCGTCTGCCAGTAAGCTCCAAAGTGTTTGCAGCTATCTCCCCCTCGAAATCGCTTCCTCGGTGATGAGTTTGCCAGGGTTTATTGACCGGACACGTGCGTTTACAAAGATACAGGCCCAGACACGGCCTCAGACAAGACGTCGACGGGAAAGGATATAATATTATACACTATGCAGTATCACTATGATAATATAATTATTATTGCTGTACCGAGCAGCAACTGACAGTTGAAAATTGCATTTGACTTCAACTATAATACGCGACGGGCCGTCTTAGCGGGTGAGTGCATACATTTCCCATTAGTCTTGGCGAGGGTCGGCTCTGTTTTTGGCGCTTATGCTTACCTAAGCCCTGTAATTTACACACCGTGCTTCCTCGAAGTTTGATCCGTGGCAAAGTAGGTACATTATCCGGGTGTATAGTATGGAACCCCGAAACGACAATTTTAATGCCGTTACCGTGTTCGGTTTAATATAATAATTTCTATAAATGCGTTAACGTTGTATTGTGACTTGAGACACACACAAAAAAAAACACAATTATAAAACCAATACCTTCACAGCTATCGAATCGAAGCTAAAATTCTCGACTGGACTCGTTATAAAATACTAATTAATCGTTTATTAGAAAAATAAAGGGAATATTCTTTTCAATGATAAATTGACCTATTTACCTATAGCGAAAAAAAAAATTAAGAAAGTACCATCTAACGAGCAAAACATCTTAATAGTAACCATTACACCTTACTTCGAGTTTATTTATACAACTATTAACTGCAAAACGAGGGATGTATTTTTTTTATTCTATCTGTGGGAATTTTTGTTTAATTCATCTTTATAATGTAATCATTGATATTTTTACTATCTTAACACCGGATGTGTTGTATGTTCGTGTACGGTGTACTTACTTAATTATTTAATTACTATGCGACGCGTGTTCGTCGACTTAATATTATAATATTTATTATCGCCGTATGCCATTATGCGAACAATACTTAGGAGTCGTTACACAAACCATCCTTTCCTAGGACACATCATTATTTATCGTTTGTGTTTAACGCATCTACATCGACGATTAGCATACAACGCGGTAAATTTTATAAACTATCTTCGTTTTCCTTAGCTGTTGGTAATATTATGCAAAACATATTGCACACACTAATTGTTCTATGAATATTAATTAGTATATTTGTACATGTTGTCAACGCGTTAGGAATTATTATAATTATTGTAAATCGTTACGGGTAAAGTAGTTTTGCGTGAATTCATAATTAATTAATTGAATAACTTAACTAGGAGAAATTCGTCTCTCCGACTATATATATGTGTAATGATGTACATATAATCGGTTTTGTAGTATTTGAAAAATATTGATTTTGTTTTCGCTGACCCAAGTATAAAATATTATAATGGGAGTTACTTTGTTGTATAATATGTAGGCCTCATATACGGACCTAGTTTTTATGTTATTATGTCTATAATTTTTAAACATTTTGCCCAACAAGGTAGTAGTGATATTTTAATTTAAACAACGGTCGTCTAAAAAAAACCCTCTTATTTAATTATTTATTCATGTCGGAATTGTCTTAGAAAATGTTTAATGTTTTCCGTTTTACTCGTAAGTCTCACGAGACGTTTCATGACAACAATATGGACTGAGACCATTTTTAACGATTTTTCTTTTTTTTTTTTTTAGGAGGGAGAGTTTTCCAAATTAAAATGCTGCAAAGACAAATCAAACCGCCAATCACGTTGTTCGCCGAGATGATTTTTTTTTATTCGTTAAATGTCCGCCGCGGGACAGAGATGGAATTTTCCATTTGTCGTTTTCACTTAGGCCAAAACCCGTTGTAAACAGTAAAGCGACTCGATCTCACCGAATTTCCGGCATGGCGGCTTTGGCCCTTTCGGCATTGTTGAATTTGACCCGGTGACCCCGTTCACGTGACTGTCCCTCTCCACTGCTACTCTACACGCTGCCGAAGTACCCACCCTCCCCTGGAAGAGCCTCGCCTACTTGAGGCCTACAGAAACCCCGGTGGGAAAACCCACCGCTGCTTCTTGATTGTTGTTATAAGATCACGTAATAAAAAAACACCGTATTAAGTATAAACCGTCAATAAAATTTTCATTGCTCCTATAAAGATGGCATAAAATAATATTATATATATATATATATATTAAATATTGTATTATATTATGTACTCTTGTAACGGGTTTAACGACCGTTTCCTATATTATGTAGGTATAAACGCATTCGCTTTTTATAGCTAAAGCTCGAGACAAAATAAATATTTTATTAACAGCGGTCTAAAATATAATAGTATTACATTATATTATCATAATATATTCAATGCAATTGGACATGAATACAATTGAATGCGGTGCAATTAAACATACGGTATAATATTATGGGAAATAGAAATACTTGAACAATATAACAAATTCGTTTGTGCAATACGGCGACCGTCGTTATATTTTAATTGTATAGTTAAAACGATATCGTCCATACAGCTATATAATGTTGTATGTACATATTTCAACATTTAATTAGCTGGAAGGGGCATACTATGCGGTAATTACAGTCTAAACTCTAAAGCATTGAGCGCCAGAAATAATAGACTGCCACACGTTTGGGGCACCTAAACATGGCTTAGCGATATTGTATCCAAAAAAATACTTTACCTCGTGTTTGAACTAAACAGTGTTCATTTCAACTCATAAAGTTATAATAATAAACAAATATGTAGCCAGCCTAACATCACACTTATTTGATTAAACTCATGATTATTTTTTATCTTAAAAAAACATGTAATAATTAACTATTCTTAAATTGTTGTTTTTCCAACTGAAAAACTTTCCTGATAATCCACATTTGTTTATTCAATATTGGCCTCCAACACAACAACATAACATTTACCGAACTGTTTAAATAATATATTATGGTCTGTCCCACATATAGAATCATTATTTTTTAGCATATTATTGATCCAGTTATAAACCCACAATCGTTATCGAGGTATACCATGGTGGATTGACTGAAATGCATAGATTGAAATTTCATTCGACGAATCTAACCGTGTCATTATATATGTAAATGGGAAATAAAAAAACTAATATTATCAGTTATCATGCTATTATATAACCGAACTAGAAGACAAGATAATAATACAAAAAATACCCGCCGGTGTCTTGTCTGGTTTTAGTAATAAAAAAAAAACTAATTTCGTTATGAAAAGTAGTTGGAAATTTAAGCTTCCGTACCTAAGGTACTTTTTTATCATTAATTCTGTAAACGAGTGTAACTTAATATGGTGCTAAAAAACAAAAATAATCAATACAACGCGTCAAGGGTAATTTATTTTACTTAAGGGCTACGACAAACAAGCTCACGTTTAAGGAATTGCAATATATTTCATTTTAAATTTTGATTCAATCATTTTTAGTTAAACTAGAATATATTGTATAATAATATTTAATAACGTTGTGAATTAATTGCAGCCTTGACTAATTAAATCGAGCAAACGCTTTTAAATATTGGTAGTTAAAAGTTTTCAATTAATCTTTCCATTAACTTGCAATTAGAGTTAAAAGTTTGTCTTTGTTCACAAAGGCAAAAACAAACTTTAATAGAACAACAATACATTTTTGTTTCATTAATTTTATAATAATAAATGTGTATTAATTGTATTTAAAACTAAGTAATTAAATTATAGTAAGTAATATTGAAATAAACTTAATTTTTTCAACTATCTCATTAACGCATTACCCAGCCTTGTTCGGTAGATGAGTCAGTCAAGTGAGAAGGATGTAAACAATCAAAGCAAATGCAATATTTTCGTACAACCAGCTCATAATATATTTTCTTACATTTTTTAATACGTTAACGTTTTATGATTAAAATCTTTCAGTTGAAAAATTAATAATTTTTGATTATTTTAAAATAAATGACTGAAGTAACATTGTTTTGGTTCGCTTACAATTACTCCCACCCCCTATCTTCCTCTCATGCAGTAAATAAGTATTATTGATAAATATTATATAAAATATGTATTTTAATTTTTTTTGTTGTAAATTTTCTTTGATTATTTCTTTCTATTTTTAAAATACTCGGCAAGACGATTATCCGTGTTCTTAGAGGGGGCGGGGGATGGATGGTATTTAACTCGGACTCCACCCCTTCAGGCCACCGACCCATAGAAAAAAAAAACCTCCGTTACGGCATTTCCCGTTGAATTCGTAGCGGTAAATCTTTCAATTTGCAATTTGCATAAATTTTGCGTCTGAACAGTTTTCACCTCATCCGACGGTTTTAACTTAAAATCGTTCTCAGCGCTTCGGCGAAAATCAATATTACATAAATACGGGCCATAGCTAAACACGTGAATGCGTTTCCATAGAATATTAAAATTATTTTGCCGCTGCCTGCTCGCACAGAAACAAAAGTATTTCGTTTTGCCCGCGGTGACTTAGCCGAACACTAATCCGCACCTACATCCGTGCTTTTTCCTCTACTCTCCACACACACACACAGCAATAGTGGGAAATAATAATATTTTCCTTCCGAATGACTATTATAATAAGAGAAAACAACATATTTTGAGCCGTACAATTATTGTTTATATTTTGTAAACGTCAGTCTCACAATCGAGTCGATCATTCAATATTGTCGTCATATGTCCATAATGTTACTTTAACATTTTGCAAACACATGTGTTCAATACAAGATAATTAATTTGTTTTTTGTTTCCAGCTTGGATCCTCGGCGAATACATGTGCAAGATCGTACCGTACATCCAAGGAGTTTCAGTGGCCGCCTCGGTGTACAGTTTGATAGCCGTGTCCGCCGACAGGTGAGTGAAATGATAATTTTATTTTTTCTTAAGACACGGTCCGTTAAGCGAAAACCAAAGTCCACGATATTAAAAAGAAATGTGAATTCTTCGTTGGAATAATAATAATTATAAAAGTACAGCACCGACATTAAAAATCCCATACAAAGTTTATATTATAATATTTATGAATTTCACTGCATAACATTTAGTGCATCGTGTTAAGATTTTTTATTTTGGCTAGTTACCAATACAAATATAGAACTTGTTAGTTTATAGTGGTTATTAGTTTCATTAAGGGAAAATCTCTTCAATCTTGCCAGTAAAAAAATGACAGCAGATCCGTTTTCGATAAAGGTTCTTGCTTACATTGATATTTATCCGCAATAAAAAAAAAATGTTTACCCTTTTTTCGAACCGCTTAAATAGAGATTTCTATAAAAAAAAATTTTTTTTTGATATTTTCACAATTTATGTTTTTGTTATAAAGTTTCACAGAGACAGCGCGTTATGATCGATCGACGCAATTATATATTATTATGCTTTTTTTTTTACACAAAAAAATAATTTTTAACGCTATAAAGTGAACTTTTGATAAATTCGTTATTGAAACGTATCACGTTGACGTTTGTCGCTTGTTACAAAATACCGCATTCTGTCTATGAAACGTAAAAGCTATAATATTTATTTATGTATAAAGAATCTTGATTTCAAAGATTGTATATTATGTTCTTTTTATTATTGCATTTTTCCTCTTAAGTTATGACAAACGTTTTATTGTCCAGTAGTCGCCCTATTTGACCAGACCCACATTAGGGGCCCACGTTACACGTCTCCAATGTCTATAATGTTTAAGCCCAAAAATCACATTCCAATTGTTCTCCACATTGTTTAAGTATAACTTCAATAAAACCTTAGAATGTATTGTTTTTATGATTATTTTTCTCAACAAAAAAAAAACTGTTACCAAACTGCGCGTTGGTTTTTGGCAACCGTTTTTGGAACGTCGTCGGGTGCGTTATTAACTGTGAAAAGCATTAAACAAAGGCCCGAATTTGCATTATTTCACAGCTTCGGGGTGAAATCGTTGCAGACTGTACGCTTGGTTAAAAGCAATTGCAATACGGTCTAGGAGTGCTGGAAACATTTCCGTGGCCAAGAATAGCCGTTTAAGACACAAGCAAAGACCATGATACGGTTATCGTTTGCCAATTTTTATCCTCGGACAAGGCGACACATAGGGTAGTCTTTATTTTATTCCACGCGAGGTATAATACCGATGATACCGATGTTCGTCTTGTGGTGTTAATTTTCGACGAAACTGTAATGTGCCAAACGGTCATATCGTTTAAGGATCGTTCTGGGTGAAAAACCACGGCGACCTTCGAAAATAATATACAGGATCAGTCAATATGCCTACAGTGAAGCTATTGTGTTTTTCGAAACGATAAGGAACGCCTACCGAGTAATCAACACAAAGTTAATGAAAAATAAACACAACAGCCCCGAGTATAGGTGTATGCAGCCGCCGCAAAGAGGTTAAGGTCCTTTTAATCGCCCCAAGCATCTGTTAAACCACTCGGCATTAAACACTTTGCATATTATTAACATTGTTATTATTGTTACTATACGTTTAACCTAAACAATTTTCAAAAACAATTTCCTTTTGATTCCAGTGAACAAATTATAAATAGTCGCCTGTCCTTAAGGCAAACTGCATTTGAGATGGCGGCCTACTCATTGAGCCATAATATTTTGTCTAACACGAAATGAGCTATAATAATATATTATTAGGTTTAGTGACAAATCTAAATGTACCTACATTTTTAAATTGATAATAATAAATTACAATCGGAAATACTCGAATGGGTTTTTGCGGTGTTCGCAATTCGATTAAAGCTAAAAAGCGGTAATTTCAAAGAAAAGTATAAAAAAAAATAAAATAAGTCTTCGAGTCGTGTAATTCGATTATTCAAATCGCACAGGAAGCGACGATTTTGCTTGCGACGAACAGAGATTTAAATCAAATAAACTATAACTTGTATTGCATCAACCGGTGGGCCGGGCCAATGCCAGTGATTTGTGTGGAAGTAAAAAGTCATAAAAAACATCGAGGTCCGGTGTTCTTTTTTATGTGTGCACAGTGTTCGCTGCGTCGCCAACAATAATATTTTTACTCCACATCTTTCTACTGAAAACGTCGTGGTCTGACCTACGTTATCAATTTGTCGGTGCACGCCGGTGCGTTAAGATTGCATACACCTAACGCCGTTTCGAAAATATATTTTCTCATTTGAATCTGAGCGGTTGACAAAAATAAAAATAAAAACGTTATAAAAAAAGAGAGAGAAAAGTAAGTTAACGAGTAAAAAAATGCGTCCTGTAGAACGAAATCGGCCGATAAAATGTAATATATTCTAACGCGATTTGTTATGAAAATTGTCTCGCTCGCTTACGCGTAATCGGTAATAACGCTTACACGTATGCGCCGGTTTCCCGCGGGCTTTTGGGCGGTACGAAAATACCGCAACCGGCGTAACGACAGTAATTTGTCCGGAGATTACACGCTATCTCCGCAACGGCGGCTGTGCGTGTAATGCGTCTGCACGCGGGAGCCGTTTTTTTTTTTGTCGCCACTGTCAGACAGGGAAGAATTTTTTTTTTTCATTTTATGTAAACCCAACAGCTGCAGTTCGGCCAGGGACGAATATACATATTGTAATATACACTATTATTATCGATATAATATACACAATACTTTCGAAATGGCCGTCACCGTTTTGCCCATCATCACTGTTCTACAAAATTTGGGCGGATTTGGATAGTGTGATGGCTTCATCGTTTGGATAAAACGTCGTAGATAATATTACTATTATAGAATTAATTACTGTTAGTTAGTCGACCCGGACGTGACGGTATCGATTGATTGATGTATGTAATCGCTTTGGATCTGAACCTCGTCTCGTTATAATATATTTTCTTACCCATTCGCGTGGACGGTTATCGCACGTTTTATGCGGGAATGCACAAATAAAGTGTAATATATATATATATTATACTTAACGGCCCGTTAAAATCGAACGCGCCAATCACGGGTCACTTGTTTTCATGTATAAGGGACAGCTAAATAATTAAGGATTCGTTATAAACTCTCGACCTAGATCGGCAACGAACCAGCTAACCTGATGGTTTTGCAAAACGGCGAGTAGAATTTTTTTTATTTTTTATAACACATGCGATGAGCGACACCTTATATAGCATGAGCACAAGTCGATTTTTATTGGGTTATTAAATCTGTTTTTTTATAGGGCGTTTACTTGACTGGACGCCACAATACATATTTTATCGAGTAAAAAAGTATGTGCAATTATGTGAAAAAATCTCAATTTAAAATTAAAACTACAATGAGACAGACACAAAGATAGTAAATTTATAGTTTTTTTTTCTGGCTGTATTCTTATAGCAGAAATTATTGCGGGTTCCGTTTGAAAGAGGTTTATACAATATACCCATTCCGTATCTTATTTGATGAGGGACATGTGTGATTATAGAATTCGATACCTCTTCTGTAGCCTAAACCTGTGTGACTGTGTAGCCTATAGGAAACACTTACGTCCTAGTTATAATGTGTTCATTGTGCCACCAAAGTTTACAAAATTGTTTTGACGCCTTCAAAAACTACCTCTCTTGCTTGTTGTTTAGTCATCGCTCGTAAAGACAAATCCTTCTCTATGCAAACAAACAAACACACACATAAAATTCTCAAGAGAAAGGTTATATTTTGAAAGTGATTTTGAAATAAATAATTTTTACAAAAGATAAAAATAAATTAAGAGCCCGCAATATAGCCGTGTGAACGTCATCAGTAATGGACGACTGGCACGACCGGATGGACGGCGGCCACGGGGTGGATGGACAGGGCCGGTCGGACGACCGTGTGGACGACTGGATGGACGACTGGGTGGACGGCGGCCGGCACGACCACGCGGACGGCGGTCGGGTGAGATTGTACGACGGCGGACGAGTGGACGACCGTGGCAGGGTGATGGGCAATCACGGGTACGACGGGCACGACGGGCACGAGTGGGGCTGCAGTGGCCACGGCCAACATGCACAGAGCGAACGCAATCTGTAAAATGTAACGAAAAACATTATTTCAATGGTACTATGGTTTTTTTTTTTAAGTTACAAATGATTTTTTCGTGTCTATTCAGAAAATTGTTTTATGAGTTTATATGTACCGATTATGATACTAACCAAAGCAATTTAATATATTTAAAAGTATTAATTATCAAACAATCAAATTGAAGCATTAATTATAAAAATGCAATTAACTACCACTTACTATTAGCGTACTACCTATATGTATATATATATATATATATATAATAACTAGTTATTATTTATAATATGTATTACTACTTATAAAGTGCATCGATGCCACACATTTGGTTAGGCCTATACACATTTTTTTCTTGTATTAAAAATGGTTTATACTAGTAAAATATTATAAATATAGGGTTATCTCGGCTGTGGTGGAATAGAAAATATAACGTTTTTAGGTCGTTACACCCGTGAGCTTATCCGGCAAAACCGATAGGATTTTTTTTATCGTTTGTATGTATATATGTACAGCTTTACGGAACTTTTAGGCCGATTGGGTAGTGATCGCGGCCGCGCAAGTTTATTGGTTTCCGCCACTGTCGGCGGTATTTATTATTCTAAAAACGTACCTAAGTAGAAACGCAAATTTATGGTCGTCCGCAGCTGATGCTGCTGCATTGTGTCGTTTTCATTATTACATTTTTATATTATAAAATACACACTATTCCATTTTATTACCGCGCGCTGCGCGTATAATACATTTTTTTTAACGAGGTTTTCGTCGTACCTACGGGATTTTTTTTTACAATTTCAACGCACCGAAAACACACCCTTAACGAGTTACATCATTGCCGCGGACGATTCCCGACAACTCGCCCTCAATTCGGGTTTCCCCTCTCCTTATGCAGTTTTACATTGTTAGGTCAAGAGTTTGGTACCTTATCCGAAATCGACTGGAGTACTTTATTATGCAATTATTCATCCGAGTAAAAGTAAACTTGCAAAATAACTCCTTGATCGCAGAGAACGTTTCAAAAATGTACTTGCAAAACGAAATATTATAGATTAAACTACTACTTGGCAATTTTTTTAGGAGGCTTCGACTCGGTAGATATTAATAATTGTACGCTATAATGGTGTGTGTTTTGTATAAAACAACATTACCGCTCGAATATTTTCTCTTAAAATAATCGATTCCAATCGATTGTCAGTTATTTAACGATGATAAACAGCTGTATTAGCGGTGAACGCGTTCGATTTACAGTGGTAAGTAGTGTAATGGTAGTCGATGAGAGATTTATTATTTTATACTATGGATAGGTATATAATAATATATTATCACGTGTCGTTGTACATCATATTATTATTATTCTTTTGCGGTCGTTAATCATAAAGAGGGTTGTTAACAATTAATATCAATCTAACGTTCTTCCGCCCAGACAAGGCCCGTCGACTAGAAGTATTTTAATACACCCGTGTTGTTGGTTTAGCGCATGTTATTTCGATTAAAATATCGGTCAGGCCGTAATGCGTGATAATAGTGGCGGAAAAGTGTAAAAAAAAAAAATATACTATTTTTTAAGTACTATTTTTTTAACCGGGCGTGGTTTATTGATTTTGCAGTGTAAAACCTAAACGTACATTTTGCTAATTGAAATTTACAAAACAAAGAGACACGAGCCTACTACACAGCGTCGAGCCGCATTGCATCCTTATCGATCCTTCCTACTCGCCCTCTGGTCATGTATTATAACGTATACCGTTTACCGAGGCCGTCCGACGCAGTTGCAACATAGTGAATCTCAAAAAACCTTGCACAATCTTAACAATTATTATGACATTATTATTTGCCAAATAGTTTGCGGTACGTTTACACTAGAGCCGGTAAAAATACAGGTTTTTTTATGAAAAAAACCCAACCCACTCGGGTGTTTAGGGATAACACCTCAAAACACCCAGAAAAGACCAGATGGGTTAAAAAGGGACCGATAGTGTTGTGAATTATGTTGTGTTCTTGTATAACTGTTTTTATTTTTATACAATATTACTTGTAAAAGCTCACCAAAGAAGAACAAAAGTACCAAAGAGATGTTATTTTTTAATTAAATACTGGAAAACAGTTCTTTTCCCGGTTTAGCCCGGGCTTTTTTGGGTTGGGCTTTTTAATGCCAACCCTGGTTTAAACACCGTCCACCGACTCGGCCGTCGAATAAAGGCCACTGAAAACAGCTATCGACTTGCTGGCCGGAAATTTTTGGCAAAATATACATTTTACCATAAAATACTATGTTTAATACGGATTTTAAAAACCATTTTGGTTATCCCTGGCCCGTAAGTTACCGAAAATGTGTACATATATATATATAAATTTTCGTAATATGTATTTACACGTCTCGCGAGCTCACTGTGAAGTCTACGCGCTAAGCCGCTCAAGCGCGTGATACGGTTTAATTAACGGATTAATACGGTATAGGTACTTAATTGAAAACTTTTACAGCTTTCTCAACACCCCGCTGTAGTAACAATCAAAGATTTATTCCCGTCCAAAACTTTCAACGTTACACTAAGTATAGGCTGTAATAAATAACGCACAAAAATATATTATATCATGTACCGCAACTTGGTCGCACTCGTTTCGGTAACGCTTGTACGAGGTATGAAGAAATGATGTTAATTAGAGACACCTGTTTAGGAAAACAAAAAATTGTAAGACTTTTTGGTGGAAAAACACATTACTCCCAAAACATTTGTTTGTAGGAAACGGCCAAAAGAATTTCGTTCAAACCAATCGTTATATATATATTTTTTTTTTTTTTGTTACGCGGTTCTTAAAAAACCTTTTGTTCGGAAAAAGGGACAAAAAAGTCTATGTTCTAACAATTAAATTGGCACGAAGCGTGTACTTAAGTATAATTACCTCCGAGACCAATTAAATGTGTGACGTTTCAAAACGGGTATTCGGTAGTCAACCGGTAAATAAGAATAACCCTTTGGAGAACTTAGAATTTTTTTTTTTTTATATAAAAATTTCCTTATAATTGGTTCATCGCGTGCCATTATATTCTATCAATAGAGTTATTCGGCTGGCACATGGCGTTTTCGCACGGGTAAGCTTTAAGAATCGGTGAAAACGAGCTTGTCGTTGTTTTTGTTTGAACGTGATTTGAAAAGTGATATTTTTTTACCCCCAAAAGTATCAAAGCTGTACGAAAAGCGCAATCATAACGCAGGGCGGACGCATAGGACTTTGTTCGGCTATGAAAACAATATTCTTACATACTATACAACTTCTTTGTACTCTTTTTTTTCTCAATATAACTATCATAAAAAGACGCCAAAACCAACGATAAAATGAAAAAAAAAACCATAACTAGAAACCGTCTCGAGTAAAATTGCTATCGCGCGGCCGAAAATCTATCCCATGGCAATTATGAGGCCGTTTCACTTTAAACCGGAACTGGTAAACTATTTTATATTGTTTTTATCTGATACATGCAACAAAATTCGACTGCAAAATGCCACTAATCGACTTTACAACGGTAATGTTGTGTGGGTTTTGGTCGGATATGGAAATGATAAATTTCGCACTTACCGTGATTTTCATCATTTTGGCAATGGAGTTTTCGGCAAGTCAGGAACTCGAAGTTGAGACTTGTAAGTGTGGAGCTGAACTGTTGACGGTCCGTGCGGTGCTCAGGTCTTTTATACGTGCCTTTCAAACCGGAGCAGTGTCAAGTTTGAGTAGAACTTGCGAACTTGCCCGCCATTTACGGTCGGCCAGCCGAACTTGACACGGTTGTTCCGTTGTTGGAAACTTGATGACGACCAAGTATATTATTATTGTCATCGCTTGGCAAACGTCTGCCCCGCAGACCATTTTGAAACCGTCGGAGGACCTTGTGACGGTCGTCACAGTGTTGACATAACTGTAACATACCAAGGTGTACATAAACAGAGAAAAAAAAAGATAGAGCCAGAGAGATGCAAACATTACAACAATGTCAAATCACACAATCGAATCGTTGGTCAATATCACATATGTAGTGCAATATAGTGTATAATAATTCTTAATTACAATTTCCCATGCTAATAGTAAGTACTTGGATCTGAAATTTTAGGGATTACTTCTTTGAATAGTCTGCTATTAATTAGGAGGCGTGGTAAGTAAAAAAAAAATTGGTTTTTAGACAATCCACTGTACAATAGCCATATGTACCTATACTTGAGAACGTTAATTTTCCGAAAGCGACACTTTGGAAATTTAGGACCGTCAACTCGGCTTCATTATCATTATTATAACAAAAATGCATAAGCAACTGAGTGTCATACAAGAGGACACAGGCCGGTGATTTTTTTATACATGTAACATTAATTAATACTTTATTAAACATTATTTGATTACCTATATACCCGTTGAATTGAGTATTCTCTAGGGATCAACCTTGTCCTTGCCCACGTTCCGGTTAAATTAACAATAGTAATACTGAATACACAATTATTGATAAATGTTGTAGATTTTTTTTTTATCGTTATAAAAAAATAAATCGTCCTCAGACCGGAAATGCAGTTTATCTAAAGCGCACGAAAAGGAAACAAAAAAATAATTTCAAGTGAATAATATTGTGATTTATTTTAATCCTTGGCGGTCCTCAGCGTAGTCGAGAGTCTTATAAGTTATAGCCATAGTTATAGCTTTAACTAAGAGGGGAGAATATCAAACAAACAAAAACTCCTGTTTCCCAAGAGCCTGGAGAATAAGTATTTCGGCCGTGATGGCTCACTACTAATATTTTTTAGGCGATGTCAAGTGTATTAGATATGATATTTTATATAATAAAAAAACAACAAAATAATAATTTACATTTTTATTTAATAACGAGACGAACTAATAACGCACTCGACGAATCGTTAGAGATATTGTTAAAAAATATCCACTTTTAAGGATCCTCTTACTCATTTTTCATAAACTACACAAATAATACAATAATTATCAAAAAGAACACTTGCCAATTTTGTAAGCTCCGTTTGGTCATTTATAGCGTTAAACAATCGTTTGAGTATTAGGTGTAAAAATTATATTGACAGTCGATTTTTAATAATCTATTTTTTATTTTTTTTTTTACAAAATTAGCTAATAAAAACTATCCGACCCCCTTTTTGTGTTCAATTATTATGCGTTAAACGTCCATTCGAGAAAAAGTGATAAAAAATGCTTTACAAATGTATTAAAAAAAAAAAAAACGATATTTTTTTCTACGTTGACAGTTGTCTATTATAAACTTTCACTCAACCTACACTTACACCAACAATAATGCTATTAATCGTTTCGACGCACCGTGATTGATTAACGTCGGCCGTCTTGAATTAATAATGTTTGCCAGGTACCATTTATTTTTTAAGTTTACCAGTAGCGCAGGACACCGCCTATACTATCAAATTGTGAACATAACGATGATAATAATAACAGCATTAAACTGTATTTTGTTTATCGACATTAACCTTTAACACGGTGTCCGTTGTCTTTATCGTCAAATCCGGTCGTACCATTCATACGAATGATAACTACCTAATCAAATATAGGAATAAACATAATATATGTGTTAGTCTAAAACAGCCTTACTGAAATTTATAACGTTGTTTAAGATTTTTGGATTTTTAAATTCCTTTGAAAAAAAAATACATTTGTTGACCCTCAGACCGATACCACCTACGACGCCTGTATACATTTTTTCCCGTTTGCCGACCTGACAAATTCAAGAAGCATGTCGAGGCAATCCTCTGGAAGCTTCCTATTTTTTACAAAACATAAATTAAATAATCCAGAGTTCCAACATTATTATTAGATACAACTGACTAATGGGCACCGAAACACACATGCGCTTGATACAGATTTTTTGGCTTTAGGCCCTCTGGTTGGAATCGAAAATACTTAAATGGACGTATTGTCAGTCCGGTTACCTCTCAAAAAAAATCAACAACAACCCGCAGAGTAAACGGTAATTTATTCATCGCACGAATAAAATAGAAAACTTTTCGCAACAGTAATATAATAACGAAAAATGTCATACAAGGCCTGCGTACACGTTTTTACATTAAGTGTATTGTTATAAATCAATAAAATATTACAGTCAGATTCGCCCCCACAAATAGATACACACAACACTGTGGGAAAACTTCTTTGATTATTTTTTATGATACGACCTATATAGCCGGTTTATTATGGCGGTTTGTATCAAATCCCACACGATGTCCTCGGTTTTTTTTTTTACACAAAATTTACTCCAGCCCGTTCCGGGAGACGTTTCCAAAATATATTATTATTACACTTATATTATACTTGTTATTATTTGTAAGTGTTATTATCACGAAAACTTTACATTTTATTGTGCCAAAACACAAACGCTGATAAAACATGAACATTACGGGGTTATTTACAGTTAGTTTTGTGAAAAATATTAATAGTATAATTTTTTTTAGAAATAATTCTCCTTTATTTATAAAATTTATGACATGTAGGGAATATTATTGAAATATATTCCAAACGTCGGTAACATCTGTACAATTTAACAATATCTGTCGTCTAATATTATAATTGAAGGGGTCAGTGGATAAAGGTGTTAACCGACATTTTTTGTAACATAATTTTTAGTTTGGATAGTTATGAAAATAGTTTGAACGAATGGAAGTGTTAGGATTGACTACATAATTTGGCAAAATAATATAACAGCTGTTGAATGTGTGTTGAGCTTAAACATTGAAAAAGTTCCAAGCAGTCCATACTAAAACAGTTAGTATGGATTTTGTCGATTTATACTCAATAAAACCAACGGAAATTCAATGTAAAGCCGTATAATGGCAACAACGATAATATAATTGCATTCCGTGTAAAGCTATCCGAACTGTGTTCGCGAAATGCCATGTCGTGTCGTAAATCAGAGTGATAATTCCAAAATTTCAACCGAGCCGAGTATTCCCTCGAGCCCAATACAAATATCGACACTGAAAGTTCGCCGAGTGCTCCTCTGGATTTTCAAACAGGAAATGCCTGTTGTGCTTGTGTGTATTTTTTTTTTTACAATACTATTGATAACTTTGTGTTGTATACCAGGACCGATCGGTAGTAATAAAATCATTAAAATGTATACAATATAATAGAATTGTGCATATAATAGTATAATGTGCAATTATTGCTCTACAAGTCTGAATGCATGCCGCAATAAGACCATTAACTCGCGGTTACCCTTCGTTATAATAAAATGAACACTGGCCCAATAAAATGTTTGATCTCTTTAACTTACCAGCAGTTTGGAAGTCGTCGGATTAAAGTAAGGCACATCCGAATACTATAAATGATAATACCGGAAGGCTAGGACTTTTTAAGGGCTCAATTTCAGTGTAGATATCTTTTTAGAATGAAGCTATTTTGATTCCTGAGTTGGGCAACACTGTGGTCGGGGGGAAATTCTGAGTCGATACAAACTAACATTGAATTTCCAGTTTCCGGTGTTATCAGTATATTTGGCACATCAAATGCAAAAATATGATATTGTAGTGATCACTATATGATAGCGCCCGCTATCCGTCTCGCCTAGAAAGCAAAAAATGCTCAAAACATACAGTTAAATGTAAATATGGGTAACTCGGAGCGGGTATTGGCAATATTGTAGTGAAACATTTTTTTCTTAATATAGGAATAAAATATTTATGTAGATAATAAGGTGTGTTACGGTATTTGATTGCCGAGACGGATTATGGGAAAAAACAATTATTTCATTTAGATATTATGACAACGTTCAAGGTACGACAACGAACTACAAATATGTATGTCATATATTGCAGTTAAGTCTGAATCAAGTTTATGGTATGTTCGACATTGACATATTGCTACTGCACGCATGACAGGTGAATAAAACTATCAGTCTAGTGTTGGGATAAAAAAAAAAGTTACAAAATATATTATATACATAACGAATGCATATTATTTTATTTATACAAAAATTAAAGAAAAAAAAAATCGATGATTTTTCATTAATCTGAAAATGATTAATGCGGATTAATTAAAAAAAAACGAGTCGACACGGTTATAGTGAATTTTTTCTTAAATCAATGTTTACTAATCAAAGAAAGTAAATTAATTATATAGTCTGTCATTTGGATATTTGTATAGGGTTTTTTTTTATAAATACATTTTTCATGTAAAATTAATGTTGTAGCTAAAATATAAAAACATTTCCCTCCGCCCCTTGCACGGTGTGCGATAAACACAGGACCGTCTTAGGCTGTGCAGGGGCCCTGGTCTCGTGTCTCGCGTACCCTTGGGGTAAAGATGGCGGCACTGGATAAATATTATTTACAATATTGGCTAAAGTTTGTTTTTTAGTAGAGTAAAAATAAAAATCTTCCCACAGCGGCGAGTTGCCCGTGGCGGTTTAATATAGATCAAGGTCGGAATGTTGTTGAAACACAAACAAAAAAGTACCTACCGTCGTCGGGTCTAGTAAACGATTATTCACCGCGTATCTTATTACCGCAAAAGGAATACCTAAGTGTTTGCAAACACTGGTGTAAATTACTCAAGACCCGAGAGTTAACCGAAACAATTTGCTTCTTGGCCCGTCAACTACAGGAACTACAGGTAAACACAATACAAGAAGACCCCACCGAGTTGAGATAATAATTACATAAACAACAGCATTATCAGATTTTACAGCTTTGTCGAGCCGTCTCTGTCGATTCGGCGCGCAAAACCGTTTTATTCGACAAAATTACATTTTGATTGTCCTTCGACTTCACTAACGACCATCTGGCGGTCGATTTCAAAATATACACTTTTATACCGTTTAAGTGTATTGGCTTCCACGTCTAATGCGTTACACCGACCCTAAACGACAACGGAAACGGTTAAGTCGATCCGCTCGACGCGGTAACCGATGTTTACTCGTGGGTTTCTTTTGTCAATTGACATTTCTTTATATAAATCGATATAACAAAAAAAAAATTAGGTCCGGATTAAGCCATTCGTAGACACTAATTGGTCACCGCAAGAGAGTTCTTAATTAGCAGAACAATTATTGCAAAATCGTCGGCACCTGCAACGCGGTTCCTTTTTTATTTCTTCTTCAAAGGGATTGCATGCGGTCTGTTTTTAAGGAGTTTTGTATAGGCAATATTTAAGAAAAAAGAGGTTTTCATCAATTTCGATCATGTCATTTACCGGTTGATTTGTATAAGCAGCAAGGTATTATTTTTTATTTGTACAATTTTTTTCTATGAGTAAAAGTCATTTTGGCTTATTTTAGACCAAAGTGCTAGACAACATTTTGACTACTTAGGATGGTCAAATTCAATTTTGTAAAGAGATTTCGATTAGGTTTTTTGTCTACTTTACTATGTTATGTAGGAAGCCGATTTTCATTTAAATATTATGGTGTCTTGTAATTAAATAAATAGAATTTGCAATATTTTCAACAATAAAACCCAATTTTTTACCGTTTCCTACATAACCTAGTGAAGTGGCCATAGAACTCGTATATCTTTACAGAATTGAAATCGGGCCATCCTAAGTAGTCAAATTTTGTCTGGCTTTTTGGTCTTAAACGTCAAGAAGAATGGAAAAGAGAAAAACTCCACAATAAGACGGTACTATAAAATTAAAGTTCGGTAATGCTAATATAAGTATTATGTACTATGATATAATATTATAACCGGATATTATCCACCGATGTTGTTTGAACCGAAAATGCAGTTTTTAATAATAAAAATGTTATATCCGATCACGTTTAATGTGTCCTGGTACGATCCGATGTTTCCAAAGACTTTGGCCGACTGAGCCTATTGTGGTATTGCCGGGAAATGTAAATGCCAATTATATTTTTCTCGGTAACTTTAATCGCACCGCAACAAGGATTTATTTCCTCCAGGGCTTATAGGACATCCGTACAGGCGGTGGTCGATGTTGGCGAAACGAAACGTTTGGTACGATGAAAAAAAAATATATTAGAGGTACTTAAGAGAGAGCGTATAACATAATCGTTTATTTATCACTTCTTCTTACACTCCGGTTGGCGCAATGCACCGGTAAAAAAACGTCATGGCTGATCGATTAGCAATTAAGAAGCTCAGCTATAGTGCAGCAGTATAGCGACTACTCTATTAAAAAAACTCTTCTTTTCTTTTTTTTTATTACAAACCCAATTTGTTTGACTCGCTCGACCGTGTATCCTAATTATATAGTAGGGACGAAACAGTATTTTGTTTTAATTTGATACACTTAAAAACAAAATCCAGTCGGTTTTCGTTTTGTTAAGAATGTGAATTTCTTAAGCTCTAACTAATCTGAACACATACTCAATGTAATTCATTGCCGGGCGTTTGCGTCTGGACCATATCAACGTTAATCTTAACGACGGAATCCGCCACACGCTTTTAACGGCCAAACTTTGTTGTGATTTCTTTTATATATAAATATACATACATACACACATGTATAGAGTCTACATTGTAACCCGCGGGGTAACGTTATTTCGATTTGCTGGCCTTTGTGTCGGTCTGGTCTCGACCTTTGTAACGTGTGATAATGATAGCGGCATAATGTCTGCTCGGTTTTTCAAAAGCTATTCAACTAGACTCTTTTGTGCGTTTGTTTGTTGTTTTTTTTTTAGGTCACGTGTAAAAAACGGTTGTGTTTGAACTCGCAGTTTCATTGTCGACGACTGAGCTGAGAAATTATAACGTTTTTGTCGAAAATACAATGCTTTTTAAAAAAATATGCAAAAATATATAACTATGATAACAGCGTTTTGTTTTTGTATATATATATAGATATATGTTTTTTTTTTTTTAAATGAGGTCACCGACCACGGTTGATACAAATCGAATTTTATTATTTATATAATCATTATTTTATTTTTTAGTATTATAAAATGTTTTTTACACTACCGGAAACTGTTATTTTTTAGTACAATTTACGTAACGAAAACAGGTATTTCTAAAATATTTTATAAAAAAATGTTAGTAGAATAATGCAACACTATTGTCAATAACGCAAACCGTTATAAATATTATAACAACAGTTGGATCTATACACGGTCTTGTTCGTATCGGGTACAACAAAAATAAGCTTGACCCGTTTAATCCTCTGTACATGTTTTTCTCTGTTCATCACTATTTACTTGGTCCCTTCGATTTTTACATGATATTATTATATTCTTTCTTTATAATGATAATAATGTCCAGGCCTCCATCATGACTTACTGGACGAACTGGCCATGATTGTAAACAATTGTAATTCGATTTGTACATAACAATAGTTATCTATGGTTAGATGCAGGATTGACCTTTTTAAAAATGTAATACTATTAGTAATAATTTGTAAGAGATATCTTTCAACGGACCTCAGTGCTCACATGGATAATTTGAATAATGATTAGTAATTTTAATTCCAAAAAAATGATCACCAGTAAATTGATCCCCTAAAAAAAATAATCGATTACACTAATGTTCTAATAAGCAAATTGTCTTATTAAAACAATATTATTAATATATATAATAATATACTAGGAATGTTTTGTGCTATGATATGTGTATACGAATGTATCTACGGTAGATTTTCTAGGTTTAATCCAGACATAAAAATTATTAATTAAGGGTGATGGGGGACGAATCATGTCTCTAGCCTATGTATCTTACTGTTTTCTATATTATGTAAGACCGATAGCTTGCACTAACACCGCCATTTTGTTCGCAGGTTTCTGGCCATTTGGTATCCGCTAAAGTGCCAGGTGACTACACGCCGGGCCCGGTACATAATTGGCTTCATTTGGTTTGTGTCTACGACCATCACCATACCGTGGGCGCTGTTCTTCGACATGGTGGCCATTTTCAAGGACGCGCCAAACCTGGAACTGTGCTTGGAAGTGTGGCCCGACTATCTGGACGGCAATCTGTACTTCCTGGTGGGCAACCTGGGCATGTGCTACGTGGTGCCGATGATCGCCATATCGCTGTGCTACATCATGATCTGGGTGAAGGTGTCGCGACGGACCATACCGACGGACAACAAGGACGCGCAGATGGAGCGCATCCAGCAGAAGAGCAAGGTGAAGGTGGTGAAAATGCTGGCGTTGGTCGTCATAACGTTCGTGGTGTCGTGGTTGCCGCTGTACGCGATATTCGCCCGAATCAAGCTGTTCGGCAAGCTCGAGCCGTGGGAAGAGGAATTCCTGCCCATTGTGACGCCCCTCGCCCAATGGCTGGGCGCCAGCAACAGCTGCATCAACCCCGTGCTGTACGCTTTCTTCAACAAGAAGTTCCGGCGCGGCTTCACCGCCGTGCTGCAGAGCCGCAGCTGCTGGGCCACGCTCCGGTACAACGAGAACGTGACGTCCGCCAACTCGTGGTCGGCCAGCAAGGCGTCCTACTACATCACCAATCACCACGCGTACACCAAGCGGCAGTCCAGTCAGGAGACAAACGTTTCTTACATCTTCAACGTCTGAGCCCATCGAGTACACGCGGGTCGTCCGGAACGACTTTTGAGCAAAGCAAATTCAACAAAACATAAAACATTCTGCGCGTGTCGCTCGTGTAAATTTAACCATGTGTACGATTTACATTTGTCCTACACACGGAACACACGACATCAAAGCGAAAACCGCATCATAATATTAAAAAAAAATAAAAATAATAATAATAATAAAATTAAAAACCAATACTATCTTATATAATTTATAAAAACCTCCTTCAATGACGTTGGAAGGGTTAACGGGTCCGGCGGCGGGAGACTTAGCCGTCTCCCGCCTCCTCTCCCCCATCGCCATCGACATAATAACGGGTAATCAGACCATTATTATATTAATATCGTTACATACACATACAATAACTATTATCATTACGATAAATAACATTAGAAACGTCATCTTACACGCGTATACTGTAACAACGCGATACGTACGATACAAATGAATGAAACCACCACCTTCCTATTGCAATAATAATATTATTTTACATAGCCGGGTAGACGCTGCACTGTGTCGGTTACAAATTTAGACCACCGACCGTCGCGTCCGGACCACCTTATTAGTATTATGGTATTAGATCCCCTAAATCTCTCCTTTCTCCAAATAAAATAACACGTCCGTTAAGCCGTGCACGACACTATCGGTGTAGGCTATGTTTTGCCCTAGTTTTTAAAAATGTTCTTTTATATATATATATATATATAATTCTAGGCAAAATGTGATCTTAGACGCGCCAGTATTCGTGTTGGCCGTACACTTTTTGCGCTGTAATTGTTTGTGTACTAATTATTACTATTTATTATTTGTATTAAGTCCTGTACCGCCCGGTTGGCCGGCTTATTCCGTCCATATTTCGCTATGCCGACTAACCAGTAACCCTAACCCCTTCATCCACAATCACCTGGCCCTTCGTTCGGCAAGCTTAGCTTAATATGTGTTTTTTTGTTTGTCGCAAAACATGTCCCGGACGTGTCACGCCTATCCCACACGCTCCCCTCTCCTCGCGTCTTTGTCCCACGGGCCGCGTTTAGGTTCCCGGACTTAGAAAGTATACCCCAAAAAAATAAAAATAAAACAAGAAAAATGAGTAAAAAAAAACAACGAATAACGCACAATGTATGAGAGAAAAAGAAACATAAACTTATATTAAAAAAAAAAAAACATAATTTCGTGTCCATCGTGTGGGAATATTATGGTCGATGTATGTGTGTGTGTGTGTGTGTGTGGGAAGTAGATGGAAAAAAAGAGAAGAAGTAATTGGTAAGAGATGGAAAACACTTCGGGTAAGGTCCTGTTGTCAGAGAAAATGGATGGGTACAGTTCACTGAAAGACAAGACTAAGAATGTTTTATTCGCGGGTACGTTCAATAATGATACAGAAACTTCATCCGCGAGGAACTTGACCTAACCTATTAGTACTGCCGCTATCAAACCAATTAAACACCTTACCGTAAGCTTTCGATAAAATAATAGTAAAAAAAAAAATAATAAAGAGTTTTTTAACACTGTGAATATTGCACACCGTCCCCGTATAGGCTTGGCTTGTGTTTTAGCATTTTTTGATTATTATGCCCACAAGTAACTTAAACAGAACCCAAGTCACTTGTCGCTCGATGAACTGTACTCTGTTTTGTGAATAAAAGGAATCGGTGGCTCACGTGGGATATTTTTGAAGGGGTTATGCCCCCTCCCCATTGTGTGTGCCACCTGAAGAAATGATTAAAATGTGAGTGTGTGTGTGTTGATTTTGGACAGTAAAAAAATCAATTAACGAAACTAACATGACAAGATCCGTAATAGCATTGCGGTGTATAGGACACACTTACCATGCACTTGGGTTACAAATTATAAAACTTTTCTACATATATTATATTGCCTGATTCTGCCCTAGTTCTATGAAAACTACCGCGAAAAGGCTAAGAACCACCCCATAAAGGAAAGTGTCGCTTTTCGGTCACGGTTATGTGCATGTGCATGTTTTAGTAGCCATATACACTACCATGTATAGTGTTATTATAATAATAATAATAATAATATATAGGTATAAATTATGTTTAATGAAATGTTCATCTGAAAATTAATTATTAACTACTCAATTAAGACCCGGCAATCGATTCTCGCAATAGGTAGCGACGGTATAAATGAGCGAACAGTGAAAAGTGTTTTCTGTCACAAACTTAAAAGGCTGAGGATCAATAAATCCGCCCGAGTGATAGTAAACGAAAATTAGGATGAGTATAATTTATGATAATGAAATGCAGGCGCGGATCCCGGGGGCTATGAGGTCCCTTTTCTATAGGCCTACATCTTTATAAAAAACAAATAACGAATATTTGCGGTATAACTTCTTTGTAAATTATGTTTTATAAGAGAGCCGCGTGTGTTGGTGGAAATCGTGAGACGGTCGATAGTGAGGAGGATTTGAGGAGTCGGATCCAAACAGCTGGTAAAATGGTGCGAGAAACAAAATGGAACTATATCATGGTCAATATATACTATATATTATTATCTAGCTTTGTATTGTAACGAATTGGATACTTAAGTTAATGTTTGAGATGTATTTGTTTGTGTTTTTACGGTTCGCCGATAGTACTTAAATTATTTATTTATTGATATATATATATTTACATTTTATTTTTTTAATCGTGTGATGGATTTATGATAGGTTTAACTGCAGTCTGTTTTTCAGATTTCAGACGGTTGAAAACGCCATTATTGTTGGTCGATTGAGAAATTCTATTTTATATGAACGTTGGCACGGTCAGACTTTTTTCATCGAGTCAATTTGTTAGCTTTTGGGGTTTTCCTCAGTTATAGTTTAAGCGAGAACAGGAGTGAACTGTTGATCTAATCGTTAAATTTTAAAAATTATACTAAGATGGCTGTATTTTATTTTTTTTATTGTGAGAAAACGGGTTTAGTTCCTAAAAATATTTTTTTACCCACACGCTCTAGTTAAGCTTTTCCCCTTCATCCTTATATCATTATATCCTTATAGATCCGCGCCTGATCTAGGGGTATGGTTGGGTTCGAGAATCGGTGCGCCGTTTTTTTTTCTTTTTTTTTTGTCACCGGTAGCGAAAAAAAACAGAATTAAGAGTTGTGTAACGACAACAAAAAAATAATCAACTTAACCGCTACTTACACCCCATATAAAATAGATAGGTGTAGTGTTTGAATGTTTAGTAGCTCAAAGTATTGTTTGAAAAACACCCTGTTATTATGTTATGTTTTAGTCGGTATTTAGATAAGTATTTATGTAATGTAATAATATAAATTAAAATAATATATAATCTAATAATATAAAGAACATATACTAGTGGTAAATCAAATTGTCTGCAATAAATTGTACGAATAAATATGGTTGATTAAGAATTTTTTTTTTATGCAACACCAAATCGAGGTGGCACCACGAAGTCTGAAAACAAATGTTTTTATTTCACTGTATACGTTATTTTCATAAGTTTAAGTAGACATATAATATCGATAGGTATATATATATATATAATAATTATATACATATATTTAATAATTATGTACCTTACAAAAGTAACACATTAATTGTATTTTCTTTTATATATACAAATTTATACGTAAGCTATGCCGAACCCAAAAAAAAACAAGCAATTATATTATAAAACAACCTGAAAATGGATTCATCATTATAATATTATATTTTGTATATTATAGTACACATTATATATGATATAGATTTAATAAATGTTTGAATTTAAATGCATATTAAATATATTAATATTATCACACTAATCGTGTAAACAAATCATTTTCTACAATAATAATTGTACTGTTAAAATTAAGTAATCATTTTTACTAAGTATTGTGTAATATTGTGGTTTATACGAATATTACCTAATACTAGCAATCAACGTACATCACGTATTATCTTTAAGATTTTAGACTTTATCTAGTCGATTTGTTAAGAATCAATAAGATTAATTCTAGAATAATTATTTATAATATTATTATAATTTACGCGTAGCCTTACTGTAAGCTAAATTTATAGTTTATTATGTGTTATAGCATTGAAAATAATACCTAAAATTAAAAAAAAATGTATAATAGTTAAATAAAATTAAATAAAAATACATGTTACTGAGAATCACAGTGCCAGTTAATAGATAAACCAACATAAAACTTGACGTATCTTTCAAAATAGCTAAATCATCTCATTATATATTATTCATACAGCAATTACACATTTTTATTTTATTTTACTAATCTCAAGTCGTTTTTCTCCATAATGTCTCCATACATTGATTTGTACTTAAACTCAGTTTTTTAGGTTTGTTATTATAACCTAACCTAACGGTCTGTTAAAAATAGGTAGTTGTTAGCTGTTAGGAAGGACATTGTTGTTCAATTATTAATTTTTTTTTTGATAAATTTCAACAACAATAATCAATATTATTATTTTCTTAATTTAAAAACTTTGAAACATTAGTACTTAACCAGGGCGGCCATAATATTATACTACTTAACAGCTGCAAGAATTTATATTCAAATTCAATTCCGGTAAATTTGACTAGTAAGTAGTATTATATTTTACTGTATTTGTTTTAGAATTTTATTTATACCTCTACACACACCATATGATGTACTTATATATGGTAAATAGTATTAGCATGAAATACATATTATTAATCGCCTGGTTTAAAATAATCATCCCTAGACAATGTATTATTAAGTACCGTTAAACACTTAACCAAACCGAAACCTACATAAGAATAGATTACCGCGTGGGTGAGTGCATATATTATAGGTTATGCCATTGGATAGTCTGTAGTTTAAAGTTTAAATTTTAAAACAACACCTCGTTGTAAAACGGATATACCTTATCCGCTTGGCATCGAAGCTAAAATTGTATAATTAATTTTAGTACCTACATAATATACACACCTAATAATTGTTATTCAATCTACCCATAATGTGTACACTTATAAAATGTATGTGTAGTAATAATAATAATATTATAGTATTATATACCACTACAGTAATTTAGTATAGCATTATATTATTTATTATATTACATAGAAGATGAATGTAATGTACTTTATTAATAATTGTCTACGACGTGTGTCTTTGTGTACTCGTGGTTGAAATACTTTTAGTAATAAAATACAATGAAAATAAACATTTAAAATTTTTTTTTTTTTAATACAATTTAACTATGAGAAATGCAGATTGTGTATTGAAAATTTTAACACGAACGTGATTAATTTCGCACTTAACAATATTTTTCAAAGTTAAATTTTAATCCTATCAACATAATATATTCCTGTTATTTATGTATTAAACGTTGAGTAATGAGTGCCTACATAGAGTTTATTCAATGTTTATTCAACTAATGTTACATGGATATATTTTAAATATTTTGTACAAAAATAACTAACATCATTTAGAAAAATTAATATTATACCTTCTCTCTTTTATAAAACAATTTTCTAATGCGCAATTTGTTTTTGTTTACCTAACATGAAACCTGTGTTAAACCGGAATCAATCATCAGGTTTTAGTGATACAGTTTCATAAGGCGACGTAGTATGGCTGCGTTTCGTTAATTAATTAAAACCTCCTTTTTTTTAAAAGCAGTAAAACGGGATTAATATTTCCCAGCCTAAAAGCTTAAACTCAAAGGTATGCAAATACCGAGCATCAAATTAAATACTATGCTTTTGAGGGTTGACATAAATATTTTGGTATGTAGGGCAAACGGAAAAGGCAATTTCCATACGGATGAAAGAGCATGACTGGACAGAGAAATCAGCGATAACTGAACATACTGGACACAAATCACAATTACTGTAATTACCAGTTTAATAATACTATTTACATAAATTGTAATAATAATAATAAAACAATATTTTATTGATCCGTTTTAATCGCCTACTGCGATAAAGTAAATTCAGGTTTACTTCTAAATTACTTGACATAACTTTTAATTAACTACTGTCAACAATTGGAATTAAATTACTTATCAACTTAGTTATAACGTAATAATTAGGAATTTATTCCTAGTACATTTAGCTTGATATTATTAATAATAATAATATTAATAAGAGGCTTGACTTGACATTTGTATTTTCTCATATTTACCGAAATTCAAGCTATGTACATAATGAGACCTCAACAAATAAGTTGTGATCCGATATTAAAAGCCGAGCACGCTTGTGCTCGGATTTTAATTTCAAACTTTTACTTAGTATAGTTTCCGCTTTAGCTCGAGAACAAAATATATGGAGGTATATGTCAAGAAAATTCATTTGGAAGAATTCCAAAAACCAAGTGGTGTACGAAAAATGGCAATTAGTTGCCATTTTAGATTCCTACTTGGCTGGTAAAGTGTGATATTTGGTTATACATTTTAAAAAAAGTCAAGAGACCTTAATAATTACAATTAGTATACTCTTAAATCTTAATTTGACAAAAGAAAACTATTTAATACCGAATGCTGAAAATGTGCGTGGTACTAATTTGTGTCAGTCACGAAAAGTAGTACCTAATGTTTATCTAGGTTACTATAAGTTAATGTTGACGAATTTTCGTACTTAGAAAACAATATCACGGCAGATGGTAAGAAATCAAACTACGCATTAGATTGGCAAAACCCGCTTAAAAAAGAAAAAAAGGCAAACTATTCACTTTAAAGAAATTAAACGTCAACACCAGAAAGAGACTCATCAAAAGTTACGTCCGGAACATAGCATTGTACGGTTGTAAGACTTGGGTCATAAGCGAAGCTGAAATAAAAGCATTAGAAACACTGGTGTCTCTGGTGATGTGGGGCTGAAGGCACGTGGAAAAGATTTAATATAATAGAATAACTGGATAAAAACCATTAAAAACCATTAATATTTGTAATTTTTCTCACATAGATATTATTAATTAACAAAAAATAATTTTTAAATTGTGCCTCGATCGACACTTTGTGAATGTAATGAATAATCCAAAGTTTTTCAAAACTAAAATCGGGGTATATTTAGATCAACGTACTGTTCGAAGTAGAAATATATAATATTTTTATACAAAAGAAGGGTCTGTATATCTTATAAAAGTTAAAAACAAAAATGAAATGTCCAAATATGTATTAATATATATTATTATGCTTACAAGTTTTAGCTTAATACTAAGGATTGGTGAAAAATTGCCTATATTATGCATCGTAATAAAAGGTAGTATAGATTATAAAATGCGTAATTAATTGTAATAAGAAATAATCAACTGTTTATTTAACGACTCAAACTGTGTGTATACAATTGAATGAAATACGTTAATTAAATGGAACAAGTAACAACTCGGTATTACTCAAAATAGTACTTGCAGCATCTTCTAAAATATAAAAAATGTATTTAAAAAAAAACGCGGTGAATGCATGTTATCACCTCTTATCAATACACGTCAGCAACATAATAAAAATATAATACTTACTCATTCTTATCATTTTTGCTAACCAGATAAAATACTCCTTACTTACCGTGTTAACCAAGGTTATACAGATAACGCGCGTGCATTTTCTAATAATTATTTCATTTCGAGATTACAGATATTAAATTATTTTCGTATGAAATAATATAATATAAATTCATTTTATTATATTATGCATTTTAAAATATTGAGTATTATAATGGTAAACAAATAAAAACTTTTTCTCTAAGTCGCCAACGCTTTCCTACCGATGACTTAAAAGACTGTGATATAATATGTTAAATTTTTTTATAATCCCTTGTAACTACTGATTTTGGATTTACTTCAACTCCACCGTTTAACCAAAAACAATCTGAACTGTATCCACATTATCGTTAGCAAATGATTTCTTATTCATCCACTGCATTCATGTTCGATGTTTTTGCAAAGTTCTAATTCAGCGCAATCAACTGACGGCTGCCATGACGGACAAATCTATGCTAAACGATTTTACGTTTAGAAGTGCGCCACACCATACATAGTCAAATGATGATTTTACCGTACACTATTAAACCTATAACTATAGTTTACAATATTTGGCGGTTAACCTGAACCTGACTAGTTGATGAAGTAAGTCAAACTTGCATTGATTAATATCGTTTAATATACATATTAACTTGTTTTCAATAGTGTAATAAGTTATATTAGTAAGAATTTGCGACAGAAGTTGCAATGCAGAAAGAAGGAAAGCCCAGGTTTCTTAAACACCACAGCAACAGTGTACGAGGTGTTGCATTTAGTCCTCGAGTGAGTATTCTTACCTATTTGCTTACAACGTTCATTATTTGTTATTAACATCATTGTCGGTTTTTTTAGGACCGATATTTGTTTTGCTCTGGTGGTTACGATGGAAAAGTGAATTTATATTCATCGTTACGCATGGAATTACTTATGTCTTATTCAATTACTACCATGGCCATTGCAAAAAATGTGAATGCCGTTAGATTTACATCGGACGGATCTAGGGTAAATAATGTTAAAAATTAATATTAATATTAATGTTAAGGGTTAAATGGCACTTATTATGTTATGCTAAAACTCGAATACTATTTTTGAGCAAGTTTCTTTGATGATAAACCAACTTAGCTGTTTTTTGAGGGTTTGGATTTTTTATTAACACTGGACTATTATTAATTATTGTTAAAATAATAACCTAAAATAGAATATTGTATTCTATCAATAATACCATTTGTGATAGTATACGTTTTAAGATTGATTTTTAAGGAAAATGAAACTCAATACCTATTCATAATGTTGTTTTTATGATGTACATTATACAGATAAACCCATCTATTGTTAAAAGAGACAGCGACTAACTTGCATTTTCCGAGGGATAAATATAGGTATGTGGGTACACGTTTTCCTCATTTTTACCTCACTTAAATGCACGCTTTGATTACTAGCATGTCTTATCTTTTATGACATCTCATAAGATGACAATATATTATTTATTAATAATTGCCATGGAATAATAAAAAATATTTAAAAATTATACGACCATTATTTTACATTGATATTTTTAAATAATTAAAAAATCAGTAATTGTTCTGTATATGCCATTATATTACACGTATAAAAACAATTTAAAATTTAGTCCCTTTCACAATTTTTTGATATTAAACATATGAAAATGAAAACTTATAGTCAAGCTGTATTACGGATTGTAAATGCTTTCGGTTAACAAAATTACTTTCATTTTAGATTTTAGCGTGCACAACATCTCGAAGACTATCAGTAGTGGACGTAGAGCGTGGTGAACAACTTTTGGCCTATGACAACTGTGCGGCAAGTGGTAGAGATCGAACAGGTTTGGCCACCGATCCCACGTCGCCTAACATTGCTGTTTCAGTAGCGGTCAACGGCAAAGGTCTCACATTGTTAGACTTACGAATGCCTCTGCCCTTAGATTACGTTTATGATGTATGTTGTTACTGTTGATGAAATATTACTTTGAATAACTAGTTTTATTATTTTGCTTGCGATAGTTGCACTCGAGTACGATTCGAGATATAGTTTTCTTAGAATCGTCTTGGCCCTGGGCCACCAGCAACGGTCTTCTTAGTACTCTGGTTACCGCGGGCTCGGATGGTTGTTGTAAAGTGTGTACGATGGACGGAAGAATCCTGCACACTTTTTATTCCGGCCGTCACTTAAATACTGTGTGCCCAACTCCTGAACCGTTTCAGGGTTTTCTATCCAATGGATTTTATAGTAAATATATTTGTATCTATTATTATAAATGGCTGTTCGTAGCGTTTATGTTTTTTTATTGTCATTTACTAATGCATATATATTTTTTTTTTTAGGTGTTATTATGAGTGGAGGTGACAAAATTACTTCTTACGTTCCTAATTTGGGTATTCAAGAGAGTTTTAGTGAGAACCGCGAGAAACCAATTTGGAAAGTTAGGTACACGTCCAACGGTAGTTTTTTGTACACTGTATGCGAAGGTGGCGTTGTTCGAAAATACAGAAGATATCCAGATCGACATGAATATCTCGGTGAAGTATACTCGCACAAAGGCGATATACAAGACTTGGATATCTCGGCGTACGATGAATGTATCCTTTTTTCATTTACACATTGTTTGATTTAAACTTGATCTTTTACTGATTAATATACATAAATATACATTATTTATACTTAATTTTCGTTTTCATGTTAGCTAGCTAATCATTAGGTTTAATGTAGTTTTAATTATGTATAATAATTTGACTATATATTTTTTTACTTATTTTATTATCAATTTTTATCCTTAAAAAAACATTTAATACAGATCTGATTACAGCTTCAAAGGATCGAACTGTCGGTGTTCTACGTTTGGGAGCTCCAAGTCACGGATGGACAGACTATGGTGAACTAACATGATAGCCTAAAAACATATTGTTGTATTGACAACGTACCAAGATAACTTAAATTACAAAGAGTGTAAATTTGTAAATTTTTTGACCAAAAAAAAAAAAATCTTAGGGATTTTAAAAGACATTTTTTCATGCCAACAAATACACCAAAATAATGCGTGATATAATATATTTAATTGAAAAATGAAAATGGAACCTTTTGGATTATATGTATATTAAAAAGTATATAAAATAATATAATTTTTACAGATGTGAACTTAACAATATTACAAAATTGGTTGTTTGTTAATTTTTTGAATATACAGATTTTTCTATGCAACGTGAATATAAATATTAATATATTACGTTATGTATTTGGATAATATTATTGTCCGTATTCCGAAGATAGTTAGTCTAGCTTATGAAAATGTATTGGAACGTTTTACCAATTATTATATATTAATTGTTATGATCAAATCTGTTCAGGAACACCTCACCGTGTAAAATTTTCACCTGCATAAAAATCTAGTATAGGGGTTAGCCGATATTAGAACCGATACTTGATATCAACCAATATTAGTGGTTTTTTTTTATGGAAACCAATATTTGAACCGATACAAAAAAAAACAACAAAATAATGCATTTACGAACTCTTGTGGTTGGCATATTATACAAGAAGATTTGTTAATTGTTAAAAGTATCTATTTTATTTTAAATTGTATTCGTCTCAAAAAGATACTTATATATTTTAAACTTCCCTGTATGGTTAATTTGTTCAAAGGAACATTGATTGTTAACAGTTAAAACTAATATTGAAACTATTTAAGACGGACAATGTGTAATTATTAATTTGTATATTTATTATTAAATATTTAGGTTTATAACTACATTATCTATATTATTACAATGTATTTGCAAATAAGACTACATACTATGTTAATGCTATCATTGAGTTTAAACTATAAATAAGTTTTAAATAATAAACAATAATTAACGGTAGGTAATATGTAATATCGGTTTTATGGGGAATAGGTTTGTGCTATCGTTTTATTTTAATATCGAGTATCAGTTTTGTATCGGAATATCGTGTATCGGCCCATCTCTACTATTTTTAGGTAAAACTATTTATGCTAATAGCGTATGCTTTAAATATCACCAAAGTTATTGCATACATGAAGCACAATGACAATTTATTTATGTTAATTATACGTATCAAGTAAAATTATGAGAATTAAAAATACCTATATTTAGTTTTTACAAAAAAGGTACATTCATTTAAATGATTAGCCATGTACGAAATCAGCTTTGTCACTAGTTTACTAAGAATTTTATTAGCTAATTTATCCAGTCAGAACAGGTAATTATTATTGTTGCAGCACATATTTAAAAAAAAAACCTAATTGCTCATATGAGGATATATTTTATATGATGTTAATTTTAACTAGTATGACAAATTATAGTCGAGTGTTGCAAATCATTGTGTATTAGACTTGTCAGACAGGCTCCCTATAAAAGATGACATTTTTTTTTTTTACTTATTACAGTAACTACTTTCATTCTAATTTGTTCAATTATAGCTGGTAATAATTGGTTGGTTCGAATGTTGGGTCATTAACTTTGTCTCTTTATAATATAGATGCGTTAAATTTAAAAAATCTGTTAAGTCTAGTTGTAGTTTTCATATCTCAAGTTTAAAAACTACCCCAAAAAAAAAGAGAAATAAAAGTCGCAACCGTTTCAGCTGGAGGAAAGGATTTTGGGTTTTTAGTGGCAAATCGTAGATGTACCTATCTAAAGATTTTAGTAGAATAATGATTTAAAATCTCTTGAAATTTCATAAGAAATAAAATGTTAAGTTGACAACCAGTATTCGTTTTACCGTTTTGAATTCCTTAGTCGATGCATAGATAGGTATTTCAAGTTAAAAATCTTTGAAAATAAAAATAAATGGTTAATAAAAATATAATATGTCGTTTAATTTTGCGTTTTGTGTGTTCGATACCAATTTCCCATACAAAAATGACGTCCGAAAGTAGTTTAAATGAGAATACAAGTATACCTATTTACTTAAGTAGGTAATATGTAGTGCATACTTAAGTATTTACCTATTCAGATTTTTATGATACCTACCTTCGTCGTTAAAGATTATAACGGTAGTTAACTATCTGATTGTATACCTTACCATAATACACCTAATATGTATGCGTTCTTATAATATGTTTTAGTCGATAGAATAAATTATAGTCGGAATATTCATTAAAAAGAAATACTATAGTCTATAGTTAGTGGTAACTTGTTATTAAATATAATATGAAATGTTGTAAGACCGTTTTGATTTTACATACTAAAAACGGCGGATACGTTATTAAGAAGGAATGATAAACAAATATTGACGTTTTGAAAATATATTTACCGTAGACTTGACTTTATTTTTGGCTAAAAAAATTATCATAAAATAATGACATTTTTTTCCCATTGGGTATTTCTTTAATGTATGAAAATAATAAATCTGTTCTGATGCGGCCAATTTTTATCTTATTTTACATTATATCTTGTACAATTTACATTATATTTTTAATAGAAACAAATATTGCAGCATATGACCTGACTACATTGTAATATTGTATTTATGCGTTTATAAACTAAAATTATTATTTATGCCGAATAATAAAAAAATAATTGAATTTAAAACAAATCACGGAAGTCAAAATATATATCACCGAATTATTTTAGTTGACTAGACAGTTTTTTTACTTAATATAAATGGACATTTCAAAATTACCTTTTTTACTCGCTTGACGTTTCTATATATATTTTTTTTTAATGGACGCACTGTAAACTTTTGTAAGTATATCATACTTATAATTTAATAGCCGAATGTTTTTTTGGGAATTTTCGACAATTATTATAGAATTATCGAATTTTTATCATATTATGGACGTAGGCAAACCGTTGCTGTAACTTTAATGGATATACAGTCATTATACATATTAAGGGTAATGACTAAAATAATTATTACGTTATTGATAATAAATCATAATAAAAGTTCTGTTACAATGTATTTAGAGGTTAAGTTTGTTTACAAACAACAAAGCAATTAGGTGAGACCTCTATATCAGCTATTTCCATTTTAATTTATATTGTCCAATTATTCTACTCGAGAAATTACTTATTTAATGTTATAATATATTATGACGACTAACTGAGTATGGAATAGTGTACACTTTTCGTTTGTTAGGAAGTTATTACATTTTATTTCCTGTGAAAACCGGTTTTTTTAAAAATAAAATTAAAATGTATGCTTATAAATACCTACTACGGAGTTCAATTAGTACTTTCGAGTGTTTCTTACGGTACATACATAATATTATTATATTATACGTGGAATATCCCCGTGGAAATGATGCATTGACCTTGATAAATAAATAATTTATCAAACGAAAATGTTTATAAACAATAACGTGCGTCACTGCATTAAGGAAGGTATTTCTTGAAAACCCCAAGATACTTACCGATTATTGTTTTTTTTTTTGTTGGGAAAAGTCATTATTATTATTATTTTGAATCATGAGCCTCCGTTGCCGCTAGGTTTAGACTCGTGTAAATCACTTTGATATAGCTTCTAGTACTGAGAACTGGTGGCAAATAATGACTGACGGTAAGAAATAAAAGATAAACAGGCCATCATAGATCACGGTTAATTTATGTAAAATAATAAATTACTAAACATACTACATAGTACATAGACAAGACAAAAATAATTCTTCTGAAATAGAGGATATTACAATATATAGTTGACTCACTTGTGATCGTCACGAACAGTGCAAAAAAACAAAAATAGGTACCCAGGTTATATCTCCAAACAAAAAATGCCTTATTATTGTTTCATACTTGTATTTTATTTGAAAGTTACCTACAATGGTTGGTTCTCATATTTTTTTCATATACCTATGAATATGCTGTCCATAGTAAGTATAAGTTATATTATTTAAACTTTCGACTTTCGAGGTAAAATATCTCTAATATGAAAAAAATGTGACTTACACCATGGTAATCGGTAGACCTGGTAACTTGCCAACACGGAAAAGCGAAGCCGTTTTTTTCCAAAATGGCGGTAAACCGGCGTGATGTTTTACACATATAATCAAAAGTAAAAATATAATTAAAACGTGTGTGCGATCAATGCACGCCGGTAGTCGCCATATTGGAAAAAAACGGCTACGATTTTCCGTGTAGGGAGTTACCAGTCCTGGTTATAAGATCGTGTACGGAACGATAAATGATGCGATAACGATAATAATTATTATCCGACAGAGATGCGTTTGGTTGCTTGATAAGAAGAGCAGCCTGACTGAAATGTATTATTTTATATTGTGTGTTTGAACGCGGCTCAAAAGGGTGCGTGCGCACATTGGCCGGGCATTTTTATCACTGCCGCGATTTTTATCAATAGTCGGCGGTATAGCGGCAAATATTATCAATTTTTTTCTAAAATATATATTGATCGCTGTTAAAATATTTCGTTTGGTACCTAAGCCGCCAGATTGCTTTGCCATATAACGCGTATTTATTGGGTTTCCAGCGATTGTTATTCATTGATCTAAATGTCGGCCAATCTTAGAATAATTCGAAATCGGTGAAAAAAACGGTGCAATCGTGTTTTTGTTTACTCGGCCACCTCGGGATGACCGCCGTCGGTCGAGTAAATTGGCAAATGAAACAATGTTAAAATCATTCAACGTTTGCCGGGATAGATTTTCATCAATGCGTTTACAAACAATGAGCGCCAAAGTGAATACCCAACAACAATACACATTGTTGTGACAGTAGAATATTTCTCACAATTGTTAGGTAAGTTTACAAATAATATATACTAATGTACAATTTATTCAGTTTAGGTGTTTTGATGAATTTGTGTTTAAAGATTAGATGGTTTGTAAGAATGTTAACAAAGCTGTTATTAGTAGAGAATTCTTTTGTAGGTACAACTTAGTTTTTCCACAATCATATTGTTTTTATTGATTTTCCTATGCTGGGTTGTAAAAAGAAGTAATACATTTAATGATCCATTTAATGGCCACTAAATTATGTTTAAGTAACTTTTGAACATCTATCAGTCATTAAACGTTTATGCAACCTGGCACTAGTATGTGAATACCATTTTATCTTTTGATTCATTTTTCAATTTAAATGGTCAACTGATTACTATAGGGGTAAGATACAAATTTTGAAATCTTGACAGAAATCATTGTATTACTTACCTATCAAACGGTTAAGCGTTGCCGTTATATAGGC